GTTGTTTGGCTATATTTTGCTAACAAACTTAACAAATTATACATAGTCCTTTACAACCCAACCCCACTCAACCTTAAAGAGGTTTGTTTCATACCACCCCTTTTCACATATATTTTGTTTTCATATGCACACCATACCCTCATAAATATCTGTGACTTGCACATACTGTTTTCCTTTTCTGGAAGGCATCTCAACTTTTCCCCACTTGAAAAAATAGTTCAAATGCCACCTACTCTATGAAGCCATCCCCGACTTTCCCAGGTAAATTTAAATGGATGATCAGGCCTTAATCATATTTGTATGTATTATTTATTTATTTAATAATAATAAATAAATAAGAGACGGGGGTCTTACTGTGTTGCCTAGGCTAGTCTCAAACCCCTGGGCTCAAGTGATCCCTCCGTGAGCCACTGCGCCCAACCATATGTATTTTTAGAACTTAGCACTGTGTCTGGCACAGTATTGGCCTCTCCTAGGAATTGAGTTTTTAAAAAATTGTTACCAAAAGATTAATATTACTATTGTGTTTTACAAGAAGATTAAGATAACATATAAATTAAAAAATGGGTACCACCCACGCACTCCTGCAATACTCAGATACAATCACTATTAAACCAAATTTTGTGTACTATTCCGCAGTCATTTATGCATGCACACTCATGCATATGTGTATGTGTAGTCCTTTAAATTCAAGCCTATGTTTTTGGGTGACTGAATACTAATTAAGAGAAAGGGTCTCGCTATGTTGCCCAAGCTAGATTCAAACTTCTGGGCTCAAGCAATCCTCCTGCTTCAGCCTCCCAAGTAACTGGGACTACAGGCATGTGCCACTGCCCTGGCTTAAGATATTATTTTAATAAGCCACTCAGTTAAATAAGAAAGTATTTATGGGGACTGGAAAGAAATAATAGAATGTGAGCAGGTGTTTAAGAAAACTACAGCTTCATAACTGATTTGCCTATCCTGTAGCTACATAGAGTCATATAACTTCAAAGCTGCAAACTGTGGATTCAGAGGTGGCAATTTTTGTTAACATGCTAACAAGGAAGATATCCTTCCTATTATTTATATATCTCAATACCAGTTTTCATAGCTATACAGTAGAAATCATAGCACCTTAGAGGATTTATGAAAGGATTAGTGATAATGTATGTAAAATACTTGGCATGTAGTTGAGCAATAAATTATAATTATTACCATTTGTATTGATCAGGTACTTTACCATGACATGAGGGCAGACACATTAGGTTATATTGTCTTCTTAATAGCATTATTCCTTCAATACAATCATTCTGGATTTCTTCCGATCTTTAAGTCAGCTTTCAGTAATATGAAGTCAGCTTTCAGTAACATCCAGTAATATGAATTGGGGTATTATACATTTGCATAAAATTATAGCTGTTCTTTTTGCTTGTCCTACCTCCTGCTGACTCATAGAATCAGCTTTAAAATAGACAAGCTATATTTATTTTTTGTAATGCTGCTACAGCAATGGCTTAAAATAATTCTGATATGCCCTTAATAATTAATGCAGACTTTGTTCTAATTGAGATGTAATTTACAGATAATAATAATTTTGGGTAGCTGGGAACTATTAACATGCAACAGGTCTTTCTTCTAATTTCTCTATTTCTCTTTCCCTTCTTTTTGTATATTGATTTTAAAGGCCGACTCCAGTGGCATGAAAACAGACTCTATGTCAATAAAAATGGTTTGAAAGAAAAAATTATACAAGTAGTTTTCCATATATAATTTATTAAAACTTTGCTTCACAGAAAAAATAAGCTAGGAGATATTCACGGTGTAAAATGTTTTCTCATTTCTGCAATGCACTGTTATACTTTTATTCTTTTTGTGTCTTTATGCTTTGTTCCCCCAATCACAGTGTAAGCTCTTTGGGCAGGATCAATGTCTTATCCTTTTTGTGTCCCTTTCAAGTGCTTATCACAGTGCTATGTAATTGCTTATGAGGAAATTGTCTTTAAATGTGGTGTTCATAGTATGATCTTATTTCCAGAGATATTTTACTTACAAGTTCAGAATCACATCTGTTTATCCTGCTGAAACCTATTAGGTAATTGCTCCTGTTGTAGCTAAATTATTTATCTATTATAATTACAAAAGCAAGACTGCTTTCTCTTAGCAATATTTTTTCTTCATTTGAGTGATCTGTGTGCATCTAACTGCATTATTCAGCAGGGAATTATCCAGGTTTCTGGTTGCTCCTGCTGTTTCTTGACACTACCTGCTGCTTTACCAATGTGCAAGTCTCAATGAACCATAATCATTACTTTCATGGATGTGTATGTTTCAGAATTTTACATGGTTTCCATCTCCATACTGGCAAATGTGTCCTTCTATTGGCAAACGACACTTCTAACAGGTAGTTGTTCTCTATGGGGCGAAATTTATATATAAATAATTTGTGCAGATGGTAATCTTTTCACACTATTCATCTCTCTATGTATCTATATGTCTGTCATCTATCTATCTATCAGTTCATCCATCCGTCTGTCTCTTCATCCATCTATCATGCTTAGTGTACTGTGCTAGGTACAATAGGGGATAAAAGAAGGCATAAGATTTAGTCTTTTCCTAATATAACTTACCATCTATTGAGGAAAAAAAATATGTATACATAGAGAAAAAGATCAGAAGCCAGAGTGGTACATGATGTCACAAGTAAATGATATGAACTCACACACTACAGATGATCCAATAAAAATATTTTGGGCTGGAATGATTTGGCATGTTCACTGAGTCTGAGTGATCGGATACAAACGAAAAGCACAGGACAATGAATTGCAATTTTTACCTACACAACTTACTGTTGGAACCTTATGAGTTGGGCTTTCTGAACTTCATTTTTCTCATCTGGAAATTGGGAATAATGATCATGACAATACCTTCTTTTTTTTTTTTGATTTGTGAATCATACAATCAAAGTTATTTTAAAAGTTCTGAAAATATTAAAGTGCAATCTAACTTCAGGGTGTGTTGTTTTAATTTTTCATCAACTACCACAATGTTTCTGCTCAAATATTACTAATTTAAGAAATACTAAAAGTTCAATAGAAAGAGAGGAGCAATGCTGGTTATGTAATATGTGTGTTTGCATGTTAATAGGGAAAGAAAAATTTGTCAGTAGCATGAAATCTGTCAATGGTGGGAGTATTTACACCACAGAACTCAGCAAACACTATAAATTGGGGCTTTCTTTTTTGGAGAGCTATTTACCAGCATATTACTGGCCTGAACAAAAGCAACAGCAATGGGACTGGAGAGGAGGGAATACATAGTAGAGGGATGAATGAGGTAGAATCAGCAATACTCATCATCAGTTGGTTAATGGTGGGTGCAGTGTCAATGGGGAGATTCTAAAATGATTTATCAAGTTACTGGCTCGGATGATTAAAGAGGAAAACTTGTGCCTCTTACCAAGAAAAGGACTTCAAGAGGGGGGAAAGATAGTGAATTTTGTTCAGGGAATGTTGAAATTGAAGTACTTGTGGGACATGATGGTGAAAATGTACAGAAGACAGTGGTTATATGGATATAGAACTCAAAGGAGAGGACTGGATTCAATATGGCAATCATGAGGCTACAACTAATAACTGAAGTCATGGGATTAGATGAACTTTACAACAAAGGGACCCTGGGAAAGACTGCAGTAAGTCTTCATGTTTTATAAAGTAATTATAAACCATGTCTTTTTGTTAAATGACAGTTTTAGTGGATAAAGCTATGTTTCTTTGCAAATTCTGCTTTTAGAAGTAAAATTATCACTGCAATGTAAGTGAGTTTTAAGGAAGACTGGTATGTGATGAAAAATGTTACGGATTTGATTGTTGAGGTCTTTACAGCAAGATTTATACAAATGAAAGTTGCAAACAACAAAAAGTTTGTTTAATATCCAAAAGAAGTTTATGTCAAACATTTGAAAGAACAAAAATATTCTAGAACAAAGAGGGAAACAAGTTATTTTAGAAATCAACTTAAATATAACTTCTATCTTAGCCCCGTGTTGTAATTATTTACTACTTTGTCTCACCGTTTGGTGCTGCGGGCGGGGGTGGGCTGGGGCACAACACTGTGTCTTTTATCTATGTTTAGGGCGTTGTACATAGTATATACTCAGGAAGAAAACCTGTTTATTCCATGCCAGAATGGGAGGTTTGAACAGATGACCTGGAAGTTCCCTTTCAACCCTTAGAGTCTATAAAAGGGAAGTGGTTATTACCGCTTAAAAGAAGTAGGCTTAGTCCTACTTCCAGAGAGCCAATGTTTTCATAGTTACAGAAAGGTAATAGGCTGTCAGCTCAATATGACACTGGTAAGAATTTTCTAACGATTATGGCTATACAACAGAAGAAAGGCTGTCTCGGAAGGTGGTTAGCTCTGAAACAACTGGTGTTCAAGGGCTGGAAGGACCCTTAGATATCTTTAGGTCTTCCTAATCTTTTTCATGCCATTGCCTATACAGAAAATGGTATAACACAAATAAAAAAATTGTACAGCAATTTTTGACACATCAATGTCTCAGGCATACTTGTCACAAGTTCTCAGGGCTTTGGTTGGGAAAACTCTGATTTAGTCTAACATCCTCGTTTGCAGAGGGGGAAACTGAATCTTAACGAGGGAATGCAATATTCCCAAGTCGTTAATGTTAATACTGGAACGAGAATTGAGACTAGAGACTGTGGACAACTAGTCAGTTTCCTCCGCTCAAATTAAGCAGGCTGGAGGCCAGACTGGAAATCTGCAGTAGATGGCAGAATAAACAGTCTAAAACTATATTGCTTTAAATGTGGTCCCAAGACCACAGACATTAGAACTTGTCAAACTCTGGGGAACTCGCTAAAATGCAGATTAATGGGCCCCACACAGACACACGGAATTAAGCTCTGCGGTAAAGGCTTGGAATCTGCAGTTTTAAGTTTGCGAATCCCCGCCTCTCCCGGTACTATTTCTGAACTCCGAGCTCCCAGCCCTGGCTTGAACTGAGACGCTGCGCTTGTCGCACAGCACCTGCCGATCGGACCTCGGGGTCCTGGATGCAGGACTGTCTGTTACGTACAGCCTTTGTGGCCGTCACGGGCGGACACCGGCCAACGCCGGGTCGGGGTGCGTCCGCCGCGGTCCCTCCATCACCTTCCTGGCCGGGCAGAGGAACCCACTGCTCCGGGCCGTCGGGGCCAGAGGCGGCTCAGCAGCGCCCCCTCGAGGCCAGAGCCCTCCGCAGGCTAGCGGGTTGCGGTTTCCCTTCATCTCCGCGGCGCCTCTTCCTCCCACGCAGTGCCGCCCACCGGGGACGCTCTCCCGCGCCTGCGCCAATTCCGCCCTGCCCCGCCCCCATCTACCGACCGGATGTTAACAGATTTCCCATAGTGCCTCACTAGTGGCGGGCATGATAACAAACACCGGAGGGTCGCACGCGGGTTCCAGTTGTGATTGCTGGGGTTTTTCTGCAGTGTCAGGAGGTTCTCCGATATTGGGGCCGGGTCACTGCCTCATCCGCTGGAGCGATGGCGTTTCTCCGGAGCATGTGGGGCGTGCTGAATGCGCTGGGAAGGTCCGGAGCGGAGCTGTGCAGCGGCTGTGGGAGTCGACTGCGCTCCCCTTTCAGGTAGGCCCGCTCGCCTGTGCCCTAGGGGGCGGCAGGGCCCACGACGTCCCTGGGCTGGAATGTAGACCCCATCCTTCACTGTCTGCCCCTCCTAGGAGTTCAGAGCCACCCTGGTTCTTTGATTCAGACCTCGACCTTGCCAAGGGGACTGTGGCTTTGAGACCAGGCCTTGACTCCCTTAATACCCCGTACCTTGCTTCTTGCTACCCTCCGCTCGCTCCTCCCACCCCTCCTCACTGTAGCCTTGGATCCATTCCGCCGCCTCTGCGAATTCGCGCGGTGTGTCTGGCCACCCTCTAGGCATTGAGGAGGCGGGGCCCAGGAGCTGGAGTATAGACGCTTTCCTCCACTCTCTGCCCTTCCTAGGAGGTAAGGGCCTTGAGACTTCCGTCCTGCAGTCGCTCCCCTCCGTTTAGGACAGGGTTTTAATAAGTCTCTAGCGTTCTTGTTGAAGGCGTTGGAGACATAGGAGTATCTTGATGACATCTCTTATTTGGGATCTATGCTCATAATATACATGTGCATATTGACAGTTAAACATCTGATACTGGTTATTTTCTTTTTATTCATATGTAGTTTTGTGTATTTACCGAAGTGGTTTTCATCTGTCTTGGCAAGTTGTCCAAAGAAACCTGTAAGTTCTTACCTTCGATTTTCTAAAGAACAACTACCCATATTTAGAGCTCAGAACCCAGGTAAGGTGTTTGGGGGCTTGTACCCTTTTCTCATGTAATAAAAATGCCATTAAGCAGTTAAATAGCAATGTTGAATTGCAGTACCAAAGCATTCAGTGACTGCAGGAACAATCATTTGATGTCTGTAAAATAGGAAGTTCTATTTTATACCAAATGAACATACTTACACTATAAGTGAGAACTAATAAACGGTATTTTTAAAATATCGTGTAGTGTAGAAAGCACCCTAGGAAGAGGATAAAAAAGCTGAATTTCGGGCCTGGTTGCCTTTGGTCTAGAGGACCACTGATGAATTATTTTCTCTTGCTTAGCTCTTCCTTTTTCTGCCTCGGGGAATTGTTAATAACGTTGCAACTTCTGTGGAAGCATCCATAAACTGTAAAGTTCTATGCAAATTACTGCTGCTTTCAGGAGCTTTCAAGATAAGAAAACATAAACCTTTCCATCATAGGAGTTCAGAGCCACTCTGGTTCTTTGATTCAGACCTCAACCTTGCCACGGGGATGGTGGATTGTAAAGGATAAATCCTTTCTTGTCTTGGGTTCCTGAAAAAAAAACATTTCCAGGTAGGATGTTTGTTGATGCCCTAGAAAGCCTGTAGGGCTCTTATTTTAGGTTATAGTGTAAAGGTAATAGCTATTTTTTTTCCTTACGATTTCTAAAGCATCACAGGGCAGTTGTGAAAATCTAACGAACTATAATAAAAAATGCTCACATTAGGCTGGGTGAGATGGTTCACACCTGTAATCCCAGCACTTTGGGAGGTCAGGATGGGTGGATTGCTTGAGCCCAGGAGTTCGAGACCAGCCTGGGAAACATGGAAAGCCTGTCTCTACCAAAATTACAAAAAACGAGGTGGGCGTCGGGGCACAGTGCCTGTAGTCACAGCTACTTGGGAAGCTGTGGTGAGAGGATCACTGGATCCCAGGAACTTGGGGCTGCAGTGAGCCATGATTGCTCCACTGCACTCCAGCCTGGGTGACAGAACGAGACCCTCTCTCAAAAAAGAAAAAAAAAAGCAGCTCACATTATAGGTAAGGAGTTAGTTTCAGAGACATGCTTAAATACCCACATCTTTTAAATGTAAGAGTTAGTACTAGCAGGTATTTTAAAAAATCAATTAATTGCACGCCATCATTCCAGTTAAGATGAAGAAGAAAGTGGAGAATAACAGATTGAATTTCGAATAGTTTGTTTCCAAATGATATTTCTGTTACTGAAATACGAGGCAATGTTATGAATTGAGAATGTATTTTGTTGTTAGCTTTTATAAGTTTAATAAGTCCTCAAAGACTTGAAAAAGTATTTTGCTTGAAATATGGAAGTAAAAAACTTGAAGCAATTAATCATCCAGCTTCTTAAACTAGTAATCAGCCTGGTGCAGTGGCTCACGCCTGTAATCCCAGCACTTTGGGAGACTGAGGCAGGTGGATTGCTTGAGCTCAGAAGTTTGAGGCTAGCCTGGGCAACATAGCGAAAACCCGTCTCTACAAAAAATACTAAAATTAGCTGGACATGATGGCGCCTACCTGTCGTCCCAGCTACTTGGGAGGCTGAGGCAGGAGAATCACTTGAGCACAGGAGGCAGAGGTTGAATTGAGCCTAGATTGTGCCACTGCACTCCAGCCTGGGTGACGGACCCTGTCTCAAAAAAAAAAAAAAAAACAAAACACGTAGTAATCAAACTGTTGACTGTTTCTGGTGGTATATGATATACTCCTTAGTTGTTAGATAACAGACTTTTAATAATGTTGGATAAATTACTTACATTTAAATTAGTTGGATACAGGAAAGTTAAATCATTTTATTAAGTTATGTGTGGTATGGATTGTGCTTTCCTGGATATCTTTAGAAATTATCCTGAGATGTAAAATTGTGGCATCTTTTTTCATTTTATTTCATTCCATAGATGCAAAAACTACAGAACTAGTTAGAAGAATTGCCAAGCATTGGAGGGAACTTCCTGATTCAGAGAAAAAAGTAAGCACATAAGTTTTCAACGTGGCTGACCAGTTATTCTGCAATTAGGAACTATTGTCATGTCCTTTAAAGGACCAGATGGATCAGACTTTTTAAAAAATAATCTGTTATCTATAAAGAAACTTTATATCTTCTCATCTGCATAGTGAGAATATGGATGTATGGGGTGAAGGTGAAGAAGTGTCAGCAGTTTGAAAGTGGAGGCTGATTACTAAACTCTCACCTTGATTAGTATGTATAAGGAAAATGTATGTTTTAATCCATATACATCCTCATCCTAGAGCACATTTCCACCTGGTGATAAAATCTCTCTATCTGAAGTCATGCAGTTGCCTTTCCCTGGCATGTGCTGTGTTGAATTTGCCAGCAATAGTTTGTTGACTTGATTTGGGTTTTTATTTATAGGTATATCGAGATGCTTATAAGGCGGCCTGGCTGATATACAAAGAAGAGATAAGCAAATTTAAAGAACAGCTAACTCCAAGTCAGATTACATCTTTGGAAAAAGAAATCCTGGACAAGCGTTTAAAAAGGAAAGCTGTGACAAAAAGAAAAGTGAGTATCATTGAAATACTTTTTTCTTATGGTAAAGAATTGAGATTTATGTAACTATGAATATAGGTAGTTTTCTCTTAATAATAATAGGCAGATACAATATGGTAGAATGTCATCAGGTATTCTTCAGTTAGGCAGAAGTGGGCTAGTTCTCTTCTGAAAAGTGAGCTAGCCACTAGGACCACTTGTCATTGAGTCTGTTTGGAAATCCTTGTTGCTACTTTCAGATGTATCCACATTTAAGGTGTACAGTTAGTAGAACAGTAATGAAAACTACAGGAACAGAGTTATGAAACAGTCAAACCAGGAGTAGCAAGGATCTTTGCTTCTGAGTCTTCTCTAGAATAACGTATTGATTTGAATTATTCTATAGATTATGGTGAGTTTGATATGGAATATTGCTGAGTAGACTGCATTAATTCATTAACACATCAGGAAAATGCCAATTTTATCTAATCAATTAAGTGCCTTTAGAATGGAATTCTTTTTTTTTTTCTTCAAAGTAGTAATTATTAAAAACCTCACATGGTTCAAAATTTGTAGTTCCCAGCTTAATGTATTAATTCACATAAATGTCATTGTTTGAAAGTTACACATTTTTTTTCGTGGAGCCAGTATTAGTTGTGAGGTGGTCAGTTTGCTAGTCGTGTACCTGCACTATTACAAAATGATCATCAGAGTTAAAACTATTTCTTTGAAAGACTAGATTACACCCTTGAATGTGAGACGCCAAAACATCTTTCCCTGACCCTAATGTTTTAAGCTGTCCTAGCACTAGGGTTGAGGACCCGCCCAGTTTTGAGACCATGGTACTGCTACTTTAGGGTGGCTGATCTGATCAGTAAAAGGAAGCCAGAAAGATACTAAGAGTGAAAAATAGAGTGTCTACCTAAGGATGCTGTTTGGAAGAGTGGTTACTAAAGTATATCCTCCCTCTTTCATTCTCCCTTCCTCCTTAATGCGCCCAGCCCACTGTGCTAAGAGTAGAGAGGACCAGAAACGAGAACTGGACGTTTATAAAGTTTCCCTTGTCATTCTCTCTTTCTTTTGTAGTTGTTCTTGACTCCCAGTATCAGCTAGTTCAGAGATCAAGTGAGAAGTGTGAGGACTAGGAAGTTACAAGTAAAACCCTCAGGAGAGAAATCCCTAGTGGTAGCTCTAGAAACAAAGAGGGAAATAGTTAAGTTTCAAAGTGCTTGAAGTCTATAGTAGTTTCAGTACTTAGTGACTGAGAGATTCGGAGAGAAGAAACTAAATCAGAGGAGTCCTACTTATAGTTATGAATAAAAGTTGAATTTGTTACTGATTATAGCCAAATTGCTATTAAGAGCCACAGAATTTTATAAATTACAGGTACTACTTACCATCCAAATTCAGAAACTTAAGTATGATAATGCAGTATCACTCCCTGAACTCAGAAATTAAACTGATAGTAAGGGATACTTGTATTCTTTTCCATAGTTTCTTCCCTTTTGGTAACTAGTAAAACCAATTTAACACAACGATGGAGCTTTAAAGGTGGAGACATTCAGAGAATGGAATGAGATGAAAGATTATTAAACAAATAGTCCATTGTTCTTGGGTCGTGGTGGAAGCATGCAGTGATTTGGTCAAGGGGACGGGTAGTGTCTTGCAAGGATGCGCTTGAGATTGTTTTATCTTGTAAAAAGGTTTTGTACATATATATTCAGTTATATTTCATGGAGACTATGAAAATATTAGGTAAAGGAAATGGTTTTGTATGGAAAATAACTGGTGAAATCTAATATAATTTTCAAAATAATGCTGTCAAAACAATTCTGACCACAAGATGTAATAATCACACTATATAAGAATCATAACATTCACTTTAAGGAATAATCTGTAATGCATAGTAGTGAATAAAGTTTCTGTAGGTAAAATTAAGTCTCATGGAGATTAACACTATTTCCGACCCTCCAATTTTTTTTAATTCAGGAGTTAATACAGCTTGGAAAACCAAAAAGACCTCGTTCAGCTTATAACGTTTATGTAGCTGAAAGATTCCAAGAAGCTAAGGGTGATTCACCGCAGGTAAAGCTGAAATACATTTTTGTTTAATTTAAAAAATACTTCGACAGGAAAAGTCTAGAGTGCCATATGTCAGGTAGTGAAGAAAAGTAGTGTATATCCAGACAGTAAACTCTTTTGATAAGGCCCTCTTTTAAGAAAAATGTTTTTTCTTACCACATACAATCAATTTTGGTATGTAGTTGCCAACACATACATACATACATTGCCAACTTTTTAAATATAAATACCTAACTTTTTTTAAAATATGTAGGGATGTTAAAGTTCTTCTGGAGGCTTTTCTGCTTCAGCAGTTCTTAACTGTTTTACAATCACTAGAAAGAATGAGAGTAGAGCTGCAATATTTTCTATGAGGAATTGATTGTAACCTGTTGCGTCATTTATATCTTTTAATAAAATTTTGGTTATGCCCATAGGGATGTGTTATGCTTATGAATGTCATCATATCAGTGTGTCAAAGAAAACAGAAAGCTTGTTAATCCCTGCTGTGGCTTAGTCTTTCCTGTTTTTTTGCTGCTTAGAAGCTCCAAATGGGCAGTTGCTTTTTTTCTTGAATCATATGACATGGTAAGAGAAATGGATGTTTAGATCCTTAACCCATGTTAATCTAAGATGAAGTTTTTGGCATTCTGTCTTCGGGATTATTATATCTGTAGTTCACTTTACAAATTCTGTTTCTGTATCCCTAAATAACATTTTATATTGTTGCTTCTTGATGTTTTTTTTCAACTTAAATCATTGTTTATCTTATGCTTTAAGCATTACCTACCACCATTTAAGGTATACATTTAACTGTCATCCTACGGTTCTCATGTTTCCATTCCTCTACCTCCCAATATAGTTAAAATTTTGGTTAGCTCGGTATTGTGTGTTTGTATTAGGTTGGTGCAAAAGTAATTGTGGTCTTTGCTATTAAAAGTAATGGCAAACACAGCAGTTACTTTTGCACCAAGCTAATAGTATTATGATTATGATTATGCAGGCTTATTCACAGCTGAGCTATGTCATATGCTATGATTATTTTTTCTTTCTTACGAAACTTATTTTCCCTGAAGTTGCTTATGTCTTTGTTCAGTTAGATTTGTGTTTTTTTTTTTTGTACTTACCAATAGTTCACCCTCAAACTCCTCAGTATTCACCAGCTTTTAGTAAATTTAGGATGTATTTTTCTTTCAGTTTAACTCTGAAAACTGGGGTTTGTTCCAGTGTGACTGTTGCCTTCTAATCCCAGTATACAGCTAACATCTTGAGATCTCCTTCATTATCCTTGTGGTGCTTCTTTTGCTTCTGTTGTTTACTTTTTTGGTTTTCTCTGATTCTTGTGTAGCATCTTTCCCGGTAAGGGTGCATGGGAAATTAAGTTTCTGAGTTTTGCATGTCTGAAAATGTCTGTATCCTCACATTCACTTGTTAGACTGGGCATAGAATTCTAGTTTGGAAAACATATTCCTTCAAAATGTAAAAATTCCTTTTCTTCTACCTTTTTTGTACTGCTTTTGAGAAATTTAAAACTTGTTTTGATTATTCATCCTTTGAATGTGATCAGGTGCTTTTTTCCCTCCCCTTTAGAACTCCTGCTACTTGTATATGCATCTTCTGAGCTGGTCCTCTAATTTTCTTATTTTTTCCGTACTGTTTTCCTTTAGCTTTCTTTCCTTTTTTTTTTTCCTCCCCCTGAACTGCTGGATACATTTTAACTTAATCTGTCTGCTATCAGCATGGTGCCATTTCCTTCAACTGTACCTGTACCTGGTTTTCACAGAGTGACACTAATTTACTCTCTAGAGAAGATAAATGTCCTACAATTTGCCATGGTAGAAATTTAACCTCTTTTTTTTTTTTTTTTTTTTGAGACAGGCAGCCTGTTACACAGGCTGGAGTGCAGTGGCACTATTTCAGCTCACTGCAGCCTCCGCCTTCCGGGCTCAAGCAGTTTTCCCACCTCAACCTCTTGAGTAGCTAGGTCTACAGTCATGTGCTACCAAGCGTGGCTAATTTTTTGGGTATTTTGTAGAGACGAGGTATCACCATATTACTTCAGGCTGGTCTCGAACTCCTGAGCTCAGGTGATCCACCCACCTCAGCCCCTCAAAGTTCTGGGATTACAGTTGTGAACCACTATGCCCGACCCAACCTCTCTCTATTTTTTTTGAGTCAGAGTCTCACTCTGTGGCCCAGGCTGGAGTGCAGTGGCATGATCTTGGCTCACTGCAACGTGCGCCTCCCGGGTTCAAGCGATTCTCCTGCCTCAGCCTCCCTAGTAGCTGGGACTATAGGCGTGCACCACCACACCTGGCTAATTTTTTGTATTTTTAGTAGAGATGGGGTTTCACCATATTGGCCAGGCTGGTCTCGAACTCCTGACCTCATGATCCGCCCGCCTCGGCCTCCCAAAGTGCTGGGATTACAGGTGTGAGCCACCGCACCCGGCCCTAATCTCTTTTTTAAACAGTCTTTCAGCCAATCTTGTGTTTAACCTTGGCTTCACCTGTTTTATACCTATCTGGTGCTGCCAATTCCTGAGATACTTGGGAATTCTGTATTGTAAATCAGTTGCTTTTAGGTTTTCTCCACTGTCCGTTTAACAATTAGCTTTCTTTTGTCAGTTAAGTCAGTTACCACTAATGCATCTGCTTTTTCGCTTCCAGAATTTTGTGTTGACAGTGCCCTCTTCTGTTGTCTTCGTTCATGTGGGTTTATGCCTTAAAAGGTTTCTTTGTTTAATGGGATTTTAGGGAGAGCAAAAATAAACATCTTTGGCTGGGCACGGTGGCTCATGCCTGTAATGCTGACAATTTGGGAAGCTGAGGTGGGAGGGTTGCTTGATTCCAGGAGTTCAAGACCAGCCCGGGGCAACATGGTAAGACCCTATCTTTATAAAAAAGGTTTTTAAAAAATTAACCAGGCATGGTGGTACACACCTGTGGTCCCAGCTACTCCAGAAATTGAGACAGGAGGATCACTTGAGCCCAGGAGGTCAATGCTGCAGTGGGCTGTGATCATACTACTGCATTCCTGCCTGAGTGACAGACCTTGTCTCAAAAAAAAAACGACAACAAAAAAATTCTATCCCTTTAATTTTATAAATGAAGAGCCAAGCCCAAGGGAGGTAAAATAACCTTTTCCAGGTCATATAATTAAGTTCAGCTAAGTAGACTTACTGGACTTGTGTTGTATTGTTCTTATTACTGTATCTAAACACTGAAGCACAGATTTTCAAATAAAACCTAAAGCTACAGGGAAGGAATAAAAACAGCCTTTGAGGTTAGTTTATGTCAACATATAGATTATACCTGAATATTAATATTTCTGAATCAAAAATGTATACCTTCATTCAATTCATTTTTAGAAATTGTAACAGTTTGATAGTTTTTGTTTAGAGAGAAAAGATGTTAAGAATTGATGAGGCCTTGCCTGTAATTCTTGGTATCTGAGTTTTTGTTGTTGGAATGAATAATAAAGGTCACTGTAGTCCCCATATCTACCTTAACTTAAACATATATTGTTTTACAGGAAAAGCTGAAGACTGTAAAGGAAAACTGGAAAAATCTGTCTGATTCTGAAAAGGAAGTGAGTATTATGGTTGTTAGTCTCAAGTGTCTAGTTAGGATATCTGTGAGAGAATGTATTAGGGCAAGGCTTGATTCATGTGAAGACAACCTTATATTACTAATAATACAGGTATTCTAAAATTATTTTCATATTCTCAGAACCAGTTTGACATTTTTCTCTTGGTACTTTTTGTCTGCAAATAAAATTGGTATTTGAAACCACAGCACTCATAAGCCTGAGTGTCCACTGTATTTAGTGGCAGTCATACCCTGCTCTTGCCCCCTTCCTGCACCTCAAGATCTGAACTTGTAACAATTTCATTCAAAGAGATAACAGTCTATCTCTTAACATTTTCCTCATCTAACTTTTATCTCATGAAAATATTTCTTCTCCAGTCTGCCTGTATACATGTAGAATGGTAATGTAATTTCTAAAGTATATACAGAACCTTTCCAGAAATTAATTGCGATTTTAAATAATCATTTTATCTCAAAAAATAAGTAAATCATTTTAACAGTTATGCTTTTTCTCAGTTCTATATTCAGCATGCTAAAGAGGACGAAATTCGTTATCATAATGAAATGAAGTCTTGGGAAGAACACATGCTTAAACTTGGACGAAAGGATCTTCTACGTCGCACAATAAAGCAAAGACAAAAATATGGTGCTGAGGAGTATAACAAGTAGAAGATTGAGATGTGTTCACAATGGATAGGCACAGGAAACCAGTTAGGTCTCAATGCCTGAAGCTATTGTAAAATTAGAAAGGATAAAGTTGGTAAACCTTTTATATTCAGTGTCTTTTTCTTCAGCTCATGGACTTCTGCCAGTGTAATACTGCTTTGGAAAACCCAGGTAAAGGTTCATGCAAAATTTGTTTTGTGTTTAGGAACTACTGAGAATCAGAGTAATCCATGCAAATGTGAATCATTTTACTTTTGACAAAGGTAAATCAGACTATAAAGTTTTTTTTTTATACAGGATGATGACTATGGAAAGAGTATTCTTGTTTCCTTATATTATGGAGGCAAGAGTTTCCTTTTCAAAATTGTTACAAATTGTAGAAAACACAACGTTCTGTGATATAATTGTGCATTTTTCAAAAAGCAGGCAAAACTCATCTTGGTAAATGACAGTTCCTAGGTATAATTCATATTATATTCAGAGTTGATGGTTGTACACCTAAGTGATTGCTGGTTTCAGTCGCAACTTTGTATAAAAGGGACTGAGAAATTTATAAACCTTTTTCTTAACTGTCTTTTTTCTAAAGTAAAAACTAAGAAATTATGTACCAGATTTATGCATATTATTTTGTTGCATAGAATAAAATTTTTAATCTTTAATTTTACATTTCCTAAATATATTTTAAGACGAAACATTTGTTTTACAGCTTTTTCCTTTTTTTAAGTAAGGAATTTTATTTTTTTCTGAATTATTTTCTCTCATGTGAGTATATTGATCCAGAAAGAAAACTTGTATTATATATGTTTTAAAATGAGAAATCTAAAAAACGAAAAGTCTCCAAAGTCTCTGGAATTTGAAACACTTTGCATAATGTATAAAAGCCTGTTTAAGAGACAGCCAACTATGGCCTGTGGGTCAAATCCAGCCTGCTGCCTGCTTTGTATGACCTGTGAGCTAGGAATTGTGTTTATAATTTTAAATGTTTTTTTAAAAGACTTTTATGATACATGAAAATTAACATGAATCTTTAGTGTTCATAAATAAAGTTTATTGTAACACAAGATCATTCTTTTACTTGTCTATGGCTGCTTCTCTGTTACAGTGGCAGAGTAGCTGCCACAGAAACTATAGCCCATAAAGCTTGATATTTACCATCTGTCCATTTATGGAAAAAATTTACCAACCCATGGTCTATAGTATAGTGTGATATGACCGCTTTTCCACTGTACTGAAGTGTTGGGATAGTTTTTTCAACTGTTTTCAGATGTTCTTGTTTTAGAATCATTGTCACCTTTAAGAGGAAAAAGGTCATCACTAGATAAGCTAAACAAATTGTTGCTTCTTGGTGTTAGCAAGGAAAATAATCTAGTTTCAAATTACATTGCAGTATAATGAAAAAGATCCATATACTGTGGAATGATATTCTTTTAAAATTATTTATGGCTTAGTAAAAATGTACCTTTTCCAGTTAGCACATATCACAAAAATCTCACTGTAGTTGAAACCGATCCTTCTTTAGCATTTGTTTATCCTTTTAGGAAAGTCAAGCAAAGGTTTTCACTGCCTGTTTGAGCAGAATAATTCTCATCAGTTCACAAGTGTAGGATAACTCAATTTACATGCCCTTTATATGTTATGCAAAATATTTAGAAATTGTAGATTCTAGATCTCCAGAAAGACTTTTGAAGACTTTGATGTCACAAAAAGATGACTTGTTATATGCTGAGCTTGACAAAGTTAGGAACGGAAGAGAAAATAGCTTACGAGGAAAGATGAGGCTTTAAATATATAAAGTTGGATATTTTAAAATAACTTTTCCCTGTGAGTGCTTCTCACTCTCGGTGCAGACAGGACAGTGTCAGCCATTGGTGAAATAGATAGGATAGGTTTGAGGCCAGAGCAGTCTGGGAGTAGGGGGAAAGAGAAGGAGGTGTGCTAGTGTCTATCACAGGCTTTCTCAATTTGGTTTTCAGGAGAAAATTCAGCCCTAAGTCCCTGTGTCATCTAGAATGGTACTAATTATGTACAGTCTTTAGGAGAATGGAGAAAATCGTAACTCAAATCATCGACTCAATTCCGTTCTCTTCAGATGAGCTCAGAGAGCACATAGGAGTGTTTGTAATGAGTAGTATGTAATGATTGAGATAGAGGAATGAGTTACATAAACATCTCAGGACAAATGCAGCATGAAAAACATCTTTGTAGTTACCCTGCAGGGAAATTTCCTCTGAGTTCTTTTAACATGAACTACTCGTATTATTTTATACTTAACATTCATATCATAACTTCCCAATATATTCGGTGTTAAGTATGTTTCTCAGGTACTTACACAACTTAATGTAGGGGGGAAAGGTGTAAACAGTGAAAAAAGAGCAAAACTATTTTATGGTAATTTTATGGTAATATCAAATTGTATTTGGTTCTCTGTTTCTAAAATAATGTAATTTTAAATATTTTAAATAATAGGATAACCTGGTTTCCAAGCCTTTTTTTCCCCCCGACATCCAGAATACATACTGGATCCAAGCCTTTCTTAAACTTCAGTACACGTGGAAGACTGGCATGGCACATACCAAATACCATTCAGCTGTAACAGTATACACAGATTTTCTCTTATAAAGAATAAGAACATCATAACCAATGACCATTCATGTAAAGTCTTATTATTGTATGTGTGTATGTGTTAGAGTCTCACTATGTTGCTCAGGCTGGAGGGCATGGTGTGATCTTGGCTCACTGCAGCCTTGACCTCTTGGGCTCAAGTGATCCTTCCAAGTAGTTGGGACTACAGTAGTTGCACACCACCATGCCTGGCTAATTTTTGTATTTTTTTGTCCAGATGAGATCTTGCTGTGTTGCCCAGGCTGGTCTCAAACTCCTGGCATCAAGCGATTCTCCTTCCTTGGCCTCCTAAAGTGCTGAGATTATAGGCGTGAGCCACCATGCTTGGTCATAAAGCCTTACTATATTTTTTGGAGACACAGTCTTGTTCTGTCCAAGCTGGAATGCAGTGACGTGATCATGGCTCACTGTAGCCTTGAACTCCCAGGCTCAAGGGATCCTCCCATCTCAGCCTCCTGAGTAGCTGGGATTATAGGTGCAAACCATCACAGCTTACTATTAGTTTTTAGACTTTTCTTAATTTGATCCAACAAAGTAGTTGCTGTAGGACCTGAGTGTTAGAAGGAAAGATGCTGAAGAAATGAAATCAAGCAGGGTGTATACTGTTGTGAATAGTCATACAGTAGTTTTTATACTTTTGTTCTTTGGAATACCAATATTAGGTTTTATGAAAGTAATTTGATGAGGGAAGAGAGGGTTGTGTATTTATTTTACTTTCTGATGTTTGCTTAAATAATACTGTGTACATATTCAGCTTGCTATAATTCTGTAATCATGCTATTGTATTTGGCTAACTCCTTTTTTGGAAATGTCTCTTTTTTTGGACAAGGCATATGTTAGTTTTTACTAATTGCTCTGAATGTGTATATTTAGATTTCTGAATTGAAAAAAAAAGTAGCATACAATAAGTAGACTTAAAGTAATTAGAACACTTTATTGATTTTTCTGATGTTTTCTGTACCTAAAATTTATCACCACCAGGTTGTGCTAAAACAGCAAGAAGTTTTTATATTGCGAGTGACAGTACCCATTATTTCTCTTAATTTTACTAACATTTACTATAAGAATATTCTCTCCCTCTTTTCTCCACTCACAGCCACTCTCCTTCCTCTTAATCACATCAAGCTATCACAGACAAATCTGAAAATGTTACAAGCACAGCCTATGTTGTATGTTTTGAAATTTTAAAACAGTAATGTTCTTTTTAAAATTGAACTTCTGCAAAGAATAAGAAAATGAATACATTTATTACTTTAAATTTGTAAAGCTTTCCAAAGTAAAACCATACAAAGCTAGTGTCAGTCTTTCTCATCATTCACAAACAAAGAACTTTTGTTAATTGATTAAGTCACTTATTATATTTGATATGAAATACATAAAACATACAACCATTCTCTTAATACATTTCAGAATGTTTCACTGGTTAAGGAGCCAGTAAATAAAGTTGACTCTAAACAAGAATTTTAAATAAACTGAACATTTTTTAAATCACTGAGCATCATTTATATATTGGTTTCTGATTTACATATGTGATATCAAAAGAAAATCTCTGACTATTCTTTTTTGCTTGTATTAATTTAAAGTTTATCTTATTTCATTTCCCCTTTCCCACAAATCAGATATACAGTGGGGGAAAGGGGAAAGGACTACATGGTTTTGACACAGTGACCTTTTATTATATAGGTTACCAACTGCTAGCCTTCATATTTTTAGAAAGGGCTGATTTGATTAGACCCATCTATGAGGTTCTGTTTTTTCTTACTAGAAATTTCATGCATTAAATGTTGGGTAGGATTAAGTGATGAGACGACGGGTCCAAATTTATTAATCATTGAGAAGTGTTGAAGTATTACCAACCATCTTACTCATTTCTCTATTTCTTCCCCTCAGTCACCAGTCAGAACAGGTCATCAGTAGTTGTGTAACTAAGATGAAGAGGAACTTTGGTGTCAGTGGATACTTAGTGATGCCAGTAGTTTTTCCAAGCTTGAATTTATACTGTGACTATCAGGCAATATTTAGATGGGGGTAATGGAGAATTTTTAAAATAAAGGAATTTTCTCTTTATGTTGACATAAGTAACATCTGATGCTATAGAAGCTTAGTATCAAATATTAATTGGACTGAAATAGTTCAGAATATTTTCCCAAAATGATTCCTACCACTCAGTTTTTACTTTTGCAAAGCTTCTACTTACCATTTGTAGTAATCTGAATGACAATAAAGTGGTGAAAAAAAGATTTGAAAATAGTGAAACCGTCTTCTTCCAGACATCATTCAGGTGACTAAAATGCAAAACCAAGTACAGTAGACAAATAATAGCAACACTAGAAAACAAGAAATAACTACCGTCAATAGAGCAGCAGTTTCTAGGCATTTTTGGAAGACAGGAGGGACATAGGGATTGACAGGTGTTCGTTGGTGTCAGTGTGAGCAAACCACATAAGATGAGTGAAGCAGAAATGGAGAGGTCTCACTAATTCTGAGTAGTGAAGGCTAGTAACAAAGATTAACCCTAAGGTGGGTGGAGGTGGGTATGTGTGGTGGCTGCTTCCTGTACTCAGGAGGCTGAGATGGGAGGATCACTTGACCCAGGAGTTCAAGTCAAGCCTGGGCAACATGGCAGGACACTATCTTTAATTAAAAAAAAAAAAAAAGCCCTTAAGGTGGTTGGAGAGAAATTACAGGATGCATGGGGCAGGAGAGGGGTATGTGTGAGTAGACATGAGGTTTCTTTCTCCCCGGTGAATATTTTACTCAAACTGAGGAAAGTAGAGTGTTATGCTACTGCAGGATAGGTTTATTTTTCAAGCCAGGTGCTGTGATTCTCAACTATGGCTGAGTAGAATCAACCCTCAATGCATGCAGATACCTGGGCCAGAATCTGGAGGGTGGAACTGGCCATTTTAAAAAGTTCTTTAGGTTAAATAATATGGAGCTAGTGTTGGTGGGAGTGGTGCTATAACTTGGAGCTTCCTAACTTCCTAAGCTGGCAGTAGTGGCTGAAAATGAGTGAATCACATATATGGCAATCTTAAACTTGTATGTCTTTGTTATAGCCATTATAGTGGGTGTGAAGAATCTCTTGATTTTGATGTGTTTACATTCTGACTAATGATGTTGAGCATTTTTTAATGTGCTTCTTGGCCATTTGTATGTCTTTGGAAAAACATCTATTCCAGTTCTTTGCCCATTTTGAAATGGGTTATCTCATTTATTATAGAGTTTCAGGAGTTCTGTATATATAATAGACATAAGGCCACTATAAAATAAATTAATTACAAATATTTTCTCCCATTCCAGGAGTAGTTTTTTCACTTTATTGGTGGTATCAGTTGCAGCACAACAATTTTAATTTTGATGGGGTCCAGTTTATCTATTTCATTTTGTTGCTTGTGCTTTTGGTGTCATATCCAAGAGACCATTGCAAAGTAGAAGATTATGAAGATTTACCCCCAAAATTTTCTTCTTTTATAGTTTTAGCTCTTACACTTAGGTCTATCCATTTTGAGTTAATTTTTGTATATGATGTCTAGCTTCATTCTTTTACCTGTGAATATCTGTTTTCCTAGCACTATTTGTTGAAAAGATTATTTTTTCTCTGTTGAATTGTCTTGACACCCTTGTGAAAAATCAATTGACCACAGATCTATGAGTTTATATCTGTAGTCTCAATTCTATTACATTGCTTTATATGTCATCTTTATGCCAGTACCACACTGTCTTGACTACTGTAATTTGTTCTAAGTTGTAAGATAGGAAATATGAGATCTCCAACTTTGATTTTTTGGAAGATTGTTTTAACTATTCTGGATCTCTTTCATATTCATATGAATTTTAGGATCAGCTTGTCAATTTCTGTAAAGAAACCAGCTGGGTTTTGATAGGGATATGTTGGATCTGTAGTTAAAATTGGTGCTTTTGTATATTAGCTTCCAGTATTCTGTGTCATCAATGCCACCTTCATATTAACTTGCATATGGCAGATTATAAATTTGTTCTCTGTATAATTTTGGAGCATGATTGTGGGCCAGCCTGCCAGTGAGAGTGGCTACTGTGCAGCTGATAGTCTTCTGTATTTGTGGAAAGGCAGGAGAAACAGCATGTTCAATTGCCTCATGTTGGGATGGAGAGAATTTGGTTGATTCAAGAGATATTTAAGAGATTGAATCTACAGGACTTGTTAATTGATGGAGTGTGAGAGATAAGGTAGAGAAAGATAGAAAAGATTATGCTTAAGTTTCTTTGGACAGCCAAGATGGGGAAAGTTGAAGAAGGAGCTGAATTCCTTCAACTTGATCATTTCTCTGCCTAGATCTATAGATTTCTGGTCTCTCTAGGTTATTGTATCCAGGGCTCCAGAGGCAGAACAAGGCCAGGATTTAGGATGCAGGCATGCATACAAAAATATGTTAAAGCTGGAAGGGTTGATAGAGTTACTACATTAGGCATAGCCAAGGCTTTATTTGTATGGAGACAAACATAAGAACTCTGAATGCATCCAAAGAAATCAGAGCTTGTATCCAAGGACATCAATGCTACTAGGGACAGAAAGGTGAGACATCAGTACTGTAAGTGACAACAGACAACCTGAGATGTCAGTGTAGGCAGAAATTAGGCTGGGGTCTCCAGAATCAGATGTTCAACTGACAGCAAGCGTGAAGGACGACTTTGTCAGGGCGAACTGGGATCAGTTTCCAGAACCAGGAGAGTTTCTAGAATAAAATAACATCATCTACCTGGAGTCTGAAGTTCATCCAAACTAGTGTTTCTCAAAGAAGTTTTAAGAATCATTTGTAAAACATGTAAAATGGAAATTCCTGGATCTCTCAGCGGGTCAATAAGAAGTTCAAGTGATCCTGCCACAAATGGAATATTGATTGTAATTTAAGAAACATTGATGAAACTATCAAAAAGACCAATTTCATGATGAATCAGCAAGCTACTAGGACGTATGTCCTCTGTTGACATCTAGGACAAATCTTAATGTATGAATAGAGATTGGGGTTATCTACCAGGAGTGGAGCTGTTACCAGAAAGGGGATCTTGATCCAGACCCTGATAGAGGCTTGGATCTTGCACAGGAAAGAATTCAAGATGAGTTGCAAAGTGCAGTGAGAAGAGATAGTTTATTGAAAGCCACTCCATTCCAGAATAGAGCATCCTCAGAAAACAAGCCCAGGAATGCACCGTCTTTAAGTTTTTCTTATATAGGGGTTTTCTCTATGTAAAGACTAAGGTGTGCATACAGGTGGATAGCATGACAAAATTTAGTACTTTATTGATTTAAAGAAATCCATCCTCGGCCAGGTGCGGTGGCTCACGCCTGTAATCCCAGCGCTTTGGGAGGCCTAGATGGGCAGATCATTTGAAGCCAGGAGTTCAAGACCAGCCTAGCCAACATGGCGAAACCCCATCTCTACTACAAAACACAAAAATTAGCCAGGCATGGTGGCACACACCTGTAATTCCAGATACTCAAGAGGTTGAAGCAGGAGGATCGTTTGAACCTGGGAGGCGGAGGTTGCAGTGAGCCAAGATCATGCCACTGCACTCCAGCTTGGGTGACAGAGCAAGACTCCATCTCGGATAAATAAATAAATAAATCTACGCTTGATATCTTAGTGTGTAAGTGCATCAAAGCATAGCTATAATTCTTGGAAGCATATATTATGAGTATTGGGACATCTGGACTTTCTGCTGTAGGAGTTTGTTCTTACAGGTGTCTTTAAGCTGTTTTCTTAGCTGTGAACATCTTAGGACCATGGGTCATGACTGGGAAGTTTAAGATGGAGTTGATTTTAAAATGGTGTCACTCTGGCTCTTCTAGGCTTCTGCTTCCCTAATACAGTCACACTAGATAGATCTTTGGCCAGTCATGCCCCGTCATCCTCTAAATGAGGATTTCTTGACCTGGTTGGCGGGGAGGGAGGGCAGAGCAGTTTGCCTCAGAACATTTGGCATTATTCTGAGAAATACATGATTGTTATCACTGGGGAGGGTACCACTGGCATCTAGTGGGTAGAGGACAAGGATGCTGCAGAGTCATCCCCATACCAAAGAATTGTCCAGTCCCAAACCTCAGTCTTGCTGCTGTTGAGAAAACCTGCTTTGTATCCTGAAGTGATACAGGATCTTGTGATAAAGAGAAGAGTAATTGCTTGCCACATTCAAGAGACAAGAGAGTTCTAACTCTTTTTTTGGGGGGGGTTGCTACAATTAGCAATATCCACAGCACTACCGAAAGAAATACTAAACTTTTTGGAAAGAGAAGGATTAGGGAGAAGTGTGTGCAATGAGACAGGAAAGCCCCAGGAACTCCCCTGAAGTCTTTTCCATGAAGACTGATCCATGACCACAACTGTGTGCATGGTATTAGAAATCCCTGTGGAGAGTGACCAGTAAAGAGAGCTTGTGTTTGTGTAACAGTTTAGTTCAAAAAGCACTTGTATATTGCTTAGCTGCTGCTTTGCCTTGGGAAGTAA